AAACATTGTACCTCCTCAAGGTGTTGTTTAGGGATTAATTAATGCACATAAAGCGCTTGGAACAGTACCTGGCATACAGGAAGCCCCCCATGCATCCTAGATATCATCATTACTCGTTTGTCCAACAAACTTTGCGGAGTGCTCACTTGGTGCTAGGCCCTGCGTTGGGTAGAGGGCGGCAGGGCTGAAGCGGGCTGCCTTGCTCGCGCAGAGCGCATTTGCTGCTAAATAAATAAACAGGGTGCTGTCAAGGAGTAGAAAGGCTACGAAAGAAACAAAACGGGGTGGTGTGATAGTGTGATTGGGGAGGAGATATTTTGGGTAGAAGGAGCCAGCTAAGTTCCTCCTCCTCTTTAGCCCTCAGTCTCTCCTTCGGTAAAGAGGGGCTTTTAGGCGTTCTGCCCTGCGGCTCAGGCATTCTGGAACCAGAGCAAAAAGGTGGGGGCAGGGTGGGGGGAAAAGAAGTCCAAGTCCCCATCGCCTGCTCCTCCTTTGCCCACCGGAGCCCCGTCCCGCGGGAGGGGGCCCAGCCCGAAGTCTCGAAAGATCACAGACGTTTGGTGATTGCCTGAATCCGCGGCGGAGGGAGTCCCGAGTTCAAGAGACTCCAGCTGTGCCGAGCTCCTCGGTGGGAACTATGTATTCCTACTAGGGACCCAGGGAGAGCGAATTAGTCGTCCCTGGCACAGCTGGGACCCACGCGCAGTGTGCAAAGTGGTTTCTTGTACGCTGGCTTGCCCCTGACTACCACGCCGAGGGCCTGTAGGCACTGCTACCCTCATTTACAGATGACCACACTATGGCTCACAGAGTCCATCCCACCTGATTCCAAGCCCTGAACTCGCCACACAACAGTATCTCTCACTTTTCTGATACAAAGAATGTTTTTAAGGGACTAAATATCCATTAATGCCTATGCGTCAGGCCCTGGCTTTACATTATCTCATTTAATCAACAGAGAAATCCCCGAGAGACATTCTTTTTTCCAGTTTTAAAATGAGGGCAGCGAGGATCAGAGAGGTAAAGTCACTTACTCAAGTAAGAGATGCAGCAGTTATCCTCCCCCCCCCCACCGCCCCCGTCGTCCCCCAAACACACACAAGTCTGTCTACTCCAGAGCCGGAGCTGTGTCCATCATCAGGAAAGTAGGAGAACTCAAGCTCAAACACGGGGCTAAGAGAGGGTTGGGCACACTGGGCAGGGCAGAGGTCACCCCCTGGTTGTCCTCCCTGACTTCTCCTCTAGGTTCCAAAGCCCATGTCACAGAGCATACCCTCTGTACTCATGGTCACCACAGGATGAGGCACAGCCTCTTCTATTTAAGCAGGATGGAAACTGGTTACCTTTGAATGCAGACCATCACCTTGACCTTGACCCCCACTTCCAGGGAAGCTCTCCTATCCCTGATTGTCCCTGTTCTTCCCTACACTTGCTAGAATTCAGAAACAGTTGGGCTGAAATCGTTTTTCATTTTACAAAACAAAAACCTCATTCATTCATTCAACAGATATCTGTCTGCCACTCTGGGCCAGATCCTGAGCTGGGCACTGGGCATGAAATAGTGAGCAAAACTGACAGTACCTTAGGCACAGAGATAGGAAACCACTGGCCAGAAATCACACAGCTCAGGAGCCCAGGACTCCTGCCTCCAAATTCTGCCTACTAGAATTTGCTGTGTATGCCTGGCTCATTCCAGATCAAGCCCCTGTTCCAGCAAGGGAGATGCCTAGAAGTCTTCCCCCTGTTCCACAGAGGACTTTCAATGTCCCACCCTCATAGGCCAGATGCAGTTTTCCATACAAACAGCCTAGAACATTGGCCCCACTTTCTCTTGGCACAGGTTAAAGAAACTTCCAGCTGGGTCTTGGACACTGAGTGTTTCAGGATGGCGGGATTTGGAAAAGAAAAACCTGCCCCAGGTGCTCTTAGGATACATACTCAATTACTCCTTAAAATAAATTTTGATAAGTTTTATAGTCGTCAGCGGGGGCTTGGAGAGGTGATACGACTTGCCTAAGGTCACGAGGTTAGGAAATGGTCCATCAGGGATGCAAACTAGTGTGAACCCCCAATCCGCTGGTACCCTCCCTCCTTCCTCCCGCCTTCCTCCCCTCCCCCCGAGGTCTGTGCCTCCACCGGACGAGTGGCAGAGGCGACTGCACAATCCTGGGGAAACCACATCTCCCGTTGCTTCCTGAGTGAGCCCAAGAAAAGAGGCGGCGGCGCCGGTCCGGCGCACTCAGAGGGAGGGAGAAAGTGGAGCGGATCACGGACAGGTCCGCAGCTCCCGCCTGCGGGTAGAAACTGGTCAAAATACTCCTGCTCGCCAGCTGTCCCCGACGCCTGAAGGGGACTAGGCGCAGAGGCACGGTAACCCAGTGCGTCCGGACGCTCCTGGAGCAGATCTTGCACTCAGGTGACTCCTCTCGTCCTTTACAAAGAAATCTCCCAAACTTTCGCAGTTGTTAATGAAAAATAAAATGAATAACTAACAAGGAACTGTTCGAAAAGGGAATGGAGGCGGATATCGGATTCTTACTCGGGCCAGAAAATCCAAAGGCTCTTACCTGCAGGAAACCTTGCAGCCCGCAAAGGCGCGTCCTTCTGGAGCGCTGCGCTTCGGCGCGGGACGCTTTCACGGCCGCCTCCTCTGCAGCCCGGTTAGGCTCCGGCCCTGTGTTTTATACCACTATAGGCAATTAATATTGCATCAGCCGTATTTTAAATTTTCAAAACCCACAATATAATGTAATGGCATAAGGGCATTTATTATTAAAGGACACCCGATGGAAAGGGAGGTGGAGGAATCGCTGGGGCTGTTGCGAAAGGCGGGGGCGAGGGGCTGAGGCTGGGGGAGCCGAGGGCGATCCGCAAGTTTGCTATTGTGGTGGGGGCGCGGGGCGCACCTCGCGGAGCGGAACCTACTCTGCTCCGAATTTTGTGCCCTCGGTCTGATGACCCGGAGCTCTTCGAGGTGCAGAAGACTTGCAGCATTAATTTTTAAATCATGAAGGTGTTTCTGCGGCTCACAAATAAAAAGGTTTCCTCCCCCTTTTTGGAGGAAGCGGGAAGAGAGAAGGGGGCTAACATCTATTGAGCACCTACTATGTGCGGGGCACTACATTAGGTGCTTTGCCGCAAATATCTGTTAGTCCCCCCATAGAGAAGTCCAGACAGACCATAGAGTGAGTAACCTCCTTGATGACCATTCCAAATGAATTTCTGAAGAGACCCAAAAGGAATCCCAACAGACCTAGCCAATCCTTTTCTTCCTCATTGCCTCTATCCCTTCATCTCCTCTCCAACCTTTCGAATCTTTTAAAATAATTTATGTGCTTCCTACAAGGCAACAAGCACTGATGCCTTAAATAAACAATCTTACCTAGTCTTGGCAATAACCTTGTGAGATAGGTATTAGCACCTTCGTTCTGCAGACAATCTTGTTGAAGAACACTTAGAGAAGTTAAGAAACTAGCCTCAGGATGGTTCAGCCAGTGGGTGAAAGCATTAGAGGTTCGAACCCCCATCAGTCAGGCTTCAAAGTTTGCGAACTAAGTTGAGCGAACAGTCTGAGAGACTGGCACGCGGAAAAGCATGGAGGAAAGTGCCTTAAGACCTGGAGGTCCAGAAAGAAGGGGCCAGATCTCCTCACTGCCGGCAGAGGAGGAATGGGCAGAGGAGACGGCTGGAAGGCTGGTCGACAGCAAGTGACAGAGCAGGATTTGGGGTTCTCGCTTTAAAAACCTTCCCAAGACTAGTATTCCTTAGCCTCCGAGAAAGAAAACCACTGCGATTCAGGTTGAAAAATAAAGCATTTATTTTAGAAGTTAATTCAAGGGGTAAAGAGAAAAGCAAACTTAATATTTTATTTGTATCTATTTGGAGAACAAAACCGAAGGTCACACAGCAACACGCAAACTATATGAAACAACGAAAAAATAAAATATGACGGGGCCAGAGGGGCTAGGCTGAGAAGGGTCCATGCGGGCGGTCCCGCTCCTCTTCCGGCGCAAGACGGTAAGTGAGCCTCTACCGAGAGACACCAACATAAAGGGGATGGAAAGGAGCGACGTTACATAAATAATAGGAATTAACGGTGCTAACGATAACAGCAATAATAATAAAAGCGCAACGAGGTTAGACGTGTGTCGGTAGGACTTGCATATGATTCGGAAAAGTTACAGTCACTTTGGAGCAGGAGCCTCTAGGCTGAACTGGCAGTCTGGCAAGAGTATGGAGCTGGGGTCGGAGAGACCTCAGCGGGTCGGTACACTACCAACCCCGCTCTCCGGCAGGCGGTAATTAACCCTCAAACGCCAGCAGATCTTGAAGGATGGCCAGAGCTGGTGCAGGCTGCTGTTTGCAAACAGCCAAGCGTCCCCAGCATTTTCAATCGCAGGATTGCACCCACCTTTTCGGAAGCCCTACTTAACGCAGAGAACAACTCGTAGCCTGCAACTCCCCGCACACTTTCCCTGAACCTAATCCATGCTACTTTATGAGAATTTACGGCAAACCAAAGGATAAGATAGAATTTAAGCGGGAAAGGGAATATAAGGCTATCCTTTGGAAGCATACATGTGTTTTATATATTCTAATAAATCTCCAGTACATATTTTTGTCTCACGTAGATATCCCAGACTTCGTATTATTTCTTATGCATCCCTTTACCCCTTGCCTAATCGCGCTTAGCAAAGTGGCGCTTTCACCCTAGCGTCGGGCGGTCGGGCCAATTCACTATCCCCTGCTTTGGGGCTCCCGCCCTGAGGTCTCGCCGTCCCGAGCGCGAGGGAGTGTTTCAGCACCACGGACAGCACACGTCCCTCCAGGATTGCCCCTCCTCGTTTTTTCCCTAGGGCCAAAACTTTTTTGGTGGGAATAGAAGGGGGGTGAGGGGGAGAGAAAGAAAAAGAAGGCCGGGAGACAACCAGGCGGGATAAAGGGGAAAGTCTGTGGCTTCGGGAGAGAGAGCCTGACCTGCCAGGAAACGCCTTGGAATTCCCCATGACCGTCCCCCCAGCCCGGTGGGCGGGGAGCGTGGGGTGCGCATTAGGCTCTCTCGGATCCCGACGCTGTGCCCCGCCTCAGTCAGTGGACAGCCGAGTACTTCATTCGTTTCTGTTTCTGTCTCTGGTTGCAGAACCAGACCCTCACCACGTTCTTTTTAAGGTCCAGTTTCTCAGCGATGGCCGCGATCTTCTCGGACGAGGGACGAGGCTGGATGGCGAAATAGGCCTCGAGTGAGCGCTTCTCCGGCGCGGCGATGGACGTGCGTTTGCGTTTCCGCTCACTGCCGTTGAAGAGCTCCGGCTTGCTGTTCTTCTCTCGGTAGGCGGCCTCGGCCTCCTCCAGCCAGGCCTGGAGCACCGGCTTGAGAGCGATCATGTTGTTGTGCGAGAGAGTGAGAGACTCGAACCTGCAGATGGTGCTCTGGCTGAGCGAGCCCACGCCGGGGATCTTGAGATTGGCTAGAGCCGCGCCCACGTCTGCCTGGGTAACCCCCAGCTTGATGCGCCGCTGCTTGAAGCGCTCGGCGAAGGCCTCCAGCTCGCGCGGGTCTGACTCCACGTCGCTGAGGCATGTGGGCATGGCGCTGTGTGGGGCCACGGCGTGCGGGTGGCTCATGCCCATGGCCTGGTGCAGGTGGCCCATGGCGCCCAGGTGATGCGGGTGGATCTGCGCGGGCATCACCGAGTGCTCCGGGGCGCCCAGGCCGCTCACGCTCAGCGTGGGCGAGATGTGCTCTAGCAGGTCACCTTCGAGGCCCTGGTGCACGGCGTGGTGCGGGTGCGAGGTGAGCGCGGCCGGGTGGGAGATGGGCACGGTGGACGAAGTGGACGTGCAGGGCACGCTGCTCATGGTATGGTAGGTGGCGTCGGGCTTAAACGGATGGTTCTTGCCGTGAGAGACGATATCAACCGCCGCCAGAGCTTCGGCGCGTGCCAGCAGGCTCTCATCAAAGCTTCCAAATATATTACCCTGCAGCTGCAAGCGAGAAGGCGCACAGCACGGTCAGTGGGGAATACTGTCAACTCAGGATTAAAACACATTTTCAAGCAACCGAGATGCCTCTCCTCAAAGCCCAGGTCATAAAAATTAATACGGAGGCTGCAGCTCTGCTGGAACAGACGTGTGGATCAGAGACATGAATGAGAGAGAGCGCGCCGGGAGAGAGCGCGGGGGAGACAAGGAGAGGGGTTCAGACAGCGGCGATTGTTCTGGGCGACATGAAAAAAACATGAAGCTAGTGTCTGTCAGAAATGTGCCTTAGAGCGGTAATTATGCTCCACTACGTACCTGCGGGGCTGGGAGACAGACTCGGCGCATGGCCTCGGAGCTGGAGTGCAGGCTGGAGAATTTGGGTTCTTGCAGCACCGGATGCATGCCGAAAGGCTGCTTGGCGTTCATGGCCATCATCTTCGCGCGCCTGGCAGGGAGGCAGCGGGGGACATGGACTCAGGCTCGTCTCGCTCGCTCGCCGCACTCCAAGTGAGCGCCGCTCAGCGCCCGCGCTCCCCTCGCCCTCTCGCTCGCTGCCTCCCCTCTCCCCCACCTGCTTCTTCACTCATCTTACAAGCAGCCTGCCAGGAAGGGCTCGGGCGCGCGCAGGCGTGCTCACGCGCCCGGGACTCGCAGGGGCGGCCCGGGAGGCCAGGCGAGACATTAGCTCGCGGCGCGCCTCTCTGCGCCCACAGCAGCCGCCCCCTCCAAGCATTTATACCCGGGCCCGGCCTGGCCTCTCCCAGTCCGCCCCGCCCCGCCCCGCCTGGCTCCAGCCCGCCAGACCTTCCGGATTTTTTCTTCTTCTTCGAGGACTTTTTTTCCCCCAAAGTCCCAAACCTCTCCGTCCTGTCCCAACTCGCACTGCCGGCATCGAAAGGCAGTCTCGGGCTGAGCGGGGGCAGGAAGCCGACCTTACTCCAACCCCCCACCACACACACACACACACACACACACACACACACACACACACACACTCCCTGTCGGCCCGGCTGCCGCCAAAGTGCCCATTTCCAGGGCGCTCTTGGCCCCACGCCTGAGCCGTCCACCAGAGTCCGGCCCCGCGGTGCAGCGAGGAGGCGCCTCCAAGCGCCCGGACTGGCTCTGAGGAGGGTGAGGGGCTGCCAAAATGAGCCCCAGGTGACCCTCCATCCTCCCAGCCGCCCTCCGGGATGAAGACAGGGGCAGCACCTGCCTTCCCAGTCCGGGAGGTCTGTGGCTTCCACGCTTGTCTTTCTTGCTTTCACTTGAGAAAGACAACTTGGTCCACTCTCCCTTTCTCCAACCCTCCAGTCTAAGGAAGCTTGCTGAGTATTTTTTAGAAGAGTGACAGTTCAGGATGGCCACCGGGCCTTGGGAGTCGGTCGGGGCACTTCTGCTGGACCACCAACGCTTCCAAGCCCCATTCCCCATAACATTAGCTGCCATTTTTGAGCTACTAATATGTACTAAGCAATTTCGAGTGTTAGCTCATGGGATCTTCACACCAACCCTATGGAGTAGGTACTGTTATCCCATTACACAGGTGAGGAAAACAAAGGTCAGAGGGGTTAAGTGATGTTAACCCAAGACCACACCTAGTTGGTGGGGAGCGGAGTTAGTCACTCATTCAGCTATCCATCCCACAAATATTTACAGATGGCCTACTGTGGGCCAGGCGCCACGTCCGACTTCACGGGCTCCTGACCACTTAGCTTCCTTGTCTTCCTTCGAGGAAGGAAGGGCCCCAGGGTTAGGACTGCCCCTCCCCCACCTCCCCTACCCACGCCTTCTCTCTTTCCCTCTCCTCTCTTCTTTTCTCTCGGTTCTTCCGCGCTAGGAAGCATTGTGAATAATGGATGGAGGACCCTGGCACCGCGGCCGCGCCGGCCGCACTCCGGGTTGGGAGAGAAACCCCGCGCGCCTAGCCCTGTCCCCCACGCCGCGGCCGCCGCCTCCGCCCGGGGAGCGGTCTTCGGCTTTTAGACGTCAACCTGCCTGCTAGGTCTGGCACGTGGCGGGAGTGTGCCGAGTTTCCCAAAGTTTTAAACGCGGTGGGGGTAGGGGACGGGTGGTGGAGGGGACCACCCTTCAGCCTAAAAGGAAGCCCCGCCTAGATCAGGGCTCCCCTCACCCCTCGGGGCCAATCCTTTACCTTCTCACACGAGCCGGCCCCTTCCTGGGATGCTGCCCTGCGACTGGGGAAAAGTACTCAGCGGAGGTGCGGGGGGCCCAGCTCGGCCCTTTTGCTAACCCTCTCAGAGCCTGGTTTCCTCGGCTCTAAAATAGGAATTGCGCTAATGTCCGCCTCCTTTAATTCTAGTGAGGATGAGGATGAGGAAAGCTTTGGGCACTGAAGCTAGTACTCAGTAAACTTCCTCACGACCAGTGCCTTGGGGCACAGGCCCTGCCCTCCGATTAAAAATGGGCCACCGTGAGACGATCTCAACGTCTCTGTACTGCAGTGCCCTCACCTGTAAAATGGGGATAATAGTTTCTCCCCCACTGATTACTGTGAGAAATACACTGAGATAAGCACTTAGCATAGTGTCTGGCACACTGAAGTCATGAAATAAGTATTAGTTCCTCTCTTCTTCAACTTTTTTTTTTTTTGGCGGCTGGCAGGTTTTGACCCAAACCGTTTGACCTTGGTGTTGTAACGCCATGCTCTAACCAACTGAGCTAACCAGCCAGCCAGTCTTCTTCCTCAGCTTAAAACAAGAGCATTTCAGAGTGGGAGTGGCCTGGTCATCTCCCTGAAAAATGGTTGTCTGCAGGTGCAAACTGTGATTCCTTGCTCTCCATTCATTCAACAACTGCTTTGTGCCAACATCAAGGACTAGGATGCAGATGTGTATCAAATTCCATTCCTGCCCTCAAGGAGTCTAAAATCCATAGCAGGAAATTGACTATAAACTTGGCAACATTCAACAACTGCTTTGTGCCAACATCAAGGACTAGGATGCAGATGTGTATCAAATTCCATCCCTGCCCTCAAGGAGTCTAAAATCCATAGCAGGAAATTGACTATAAACTTGGCAGTTCAGTAGAGTAGATGTAGATTCAGGCACAAGACACAGAGCAAGGGTGGAATCCCTAAAATATAGAAGATACATCAGAATGGGAGTCAGGAGGGCTGGGTTTGGGGCTGTGTATTAGTCAATTTCTGTTGCTTAAAACAGAATACCTGAAAATAGGTAATTTATAAAGAAACAAAGTTTATTCTTACAGTTTGGAGGCTGGGAAGTCCAAGGTCCAGGGAACACATCTGGTGAGGGTCTTCTTGGTGTTAACTCTCTACAGCAGCACAGGGTACTAAATGACAAGAATGTACTGAATAAGAGAGAGCTAAACTTGTCACTTGCCCTCCTTATAAAGCCATGAGAACCACACCCATTACCCCCTGAATGGATCAATTAATTAATGAGGACACAGTCCTCACAATCTAATCAACTCTTAAAGGCTCCACCTTTCAAATACTATAACTGGTTCTCCGACCTTCTTAGGACTGTTACAGTGGAGGTCAAGTTTCTAATACATGAACTTTTGGGGGACACATTTAACCCACACAGCAGGCTGCATTATGACACTGGGTCTGTGTGAATCTGGCTGGGCCTCAGTTTACCTACAAAGAGAGTTCTAGATTGGAGGATTGCTGAGTGTTTCCAACTTTAACGAAAGACTACCATTTTGGTTAATTGGAATGAAACACATTTTGAGCAAGTCAGGAGCTTCTCTTCAGAGACCCTCAACTCCTCAGAAGCTGAAAGCAGCATTGTTTTATCACTCACTAGCATTTAGGACCACTCAGTCTTGTTTTCTGCCCAATGCTAGAAGACTAAAGAGAAAAGGAAATGAAAGTGAAGATACTGGATCTGTAGCTTGCTTGCTCCCTGGTGCCCTGAAATCCACACTCACTCCATAATACCCTAACTGTCTGTGAAGCTGAACTTCCCAGGAACTGGGAGGAAAAGGCCCATCCACATCCATCCTCTTCCTCTGCTCTTTCCCCTCACTGGCCTGGGAGACACTGGTCAGGGTTGAGTTCAGGCCGGGGTCAAAGAGCAAAACCAACTGGCTCCCTTATGCCTCCAAAGCTGACCTTCACCACATCAGCCCTCATTCCAGCATCCCCAGGCATTAGGATCACAAATCAAAAGCTATTCTTCCCTCTAGGCAGGTCTACTAGCAACTCTAGGTAGCCAGCAGTAAGACGACACCCACCATTAAAGATCAGCCTTCTTCAGAAGGCCCTGGAGATAACAGACTGGAGAAGAGAGGAGGAAAAAGACCATACAGAAAGCAAGTGTAAGGAGAGCCTGAGAAGACCGTTGATAACATCCTTTACACTATTTAGGATTTGCAAACTTAAATTCTATCAGAGGCAAGTTTGGTAAAATAAAGTAGTAAATCCAGCTGGATGGATAAAAGGGTGATTGGAACTGTGGTAAACTGGAGAGCACATGCCCTCTTCCTCCATGGCATTAAATTACAGTTCACACACACACACACACACACACACACACACACACACATGCACGCACGCATACCATGTATGGCCAAACGAAATCTGTCTCAGGATCCAAGTAAGGACCACTAGGGCATTTATGCAAGTGGCACTAAAGGGGCATTTTCTTCATTCTACAAGCATTTCAGAATACCTACTGACAGCTGGGTCTTTTGGTAGGTTCTGCAGGTATAGAAGACACTGCTTCAGGAGCTCAGAGTCTAGCAGGGACATAGGATTGTCACATGTAATTCTAAGGTAGGGCACAAATCATTATGTCCTCCAGAAGAATTAGCCTTTTGTAGAGATGCAAGGTGGTGTGTGTGTGTGTGTGTGTAGGGGCATTTTCCTGTGGGCCAGTGGTTCTCAACTTTAGTATGAGTAGGAATTATCTGTAGCCTCTTAAAATATAACATCCAAGGCCCACACCTAGAGATTTTGGCCACAAGGACTAACATGCTTTTTAACAGACATTTGTGTTTTGGATGCATGTAATCTGGGACTCTCCACTTGAAAAACTTGCTCTGGACACTTGTCACCAGACACTATTATTATTATTATTATTACTATTATAAAGGCCTGCCCTAATTATATAAGTTTCATGGAGACTCAAAGTGTTTTCCTTCTTTGAGCTCCCAATGTCTTTTGCATCTTCCTCTATTATTTCTTAGTAAGAACATGATGTTTTATGGTCTCTGCTCCTTGAAGGACTCTGGGACTTCTCTGAGCATGAAAGAAGTCTCTATCTCTGTGTCTACTGGCCAGGCACCATGTAGGAAATTAATACAATTCATGATGAATGAATGCATGAATAATGTCCTCCCCAGGACTCTGGCCAGGGGCATGCCCATAATGATGTGAACAACAAGAGCCATTTATGGAGTGGCTCCTGTGTACAAGGCTCTGGGCTGAGTGGTTTAGAAGTATTGTATACTGAATCCCCACATCAAGCCTGTGAGTTTGATATTATCCATTTTACAGATGAGAAAACTGAGGTACAAAGAGATGCAGTAAGTTGCC